CCCTATTTATATTGTATTTATTTACAGAGGTATATTATGTCACACTTCACACTCCTCTAGTAAGTTTCGTCTCTATGTGAAGACGCTGCGCAGCGCAAATCCGTGAATGAATGTTCCGAAGTGAAGTAAACTTCAACGGATTTCCCCTGTTCAGGGAGTAGGGAGCAATGAACTCTGTGTAGGGATCATATCGATCATAACACAGTTCATGCATGTAGCTCACTTCTAACGAGCTGGCGCACGAGGACTGGATTAACCGCTGGGCTACATCATGTGTCATTCACTGGTGAGAAATCTTTGAAAGTACTACAATACCAGGAAGGAAGATCGGCTTGTTGATGTTTGCCTGCCATCCTCGCTCTGTCTGCACAGCGTGCGTGAACGCGCTGATGACGTATTCTGTCTGCGCGAACAGGGTGCGCAGAGTTATGCTAATACATATGTTGACAGGCAGGTAGGACAGCATATTAAAACGCTCGGACCGAACGTTTTGATTAGACGAACATTTCTTGATCCTACACCTTCCACAGAATATATAAATACAGACAAATACATTTAGACCACTTAACTTAATGATTGCTATCGGGATGTGAAGAGACTTTCAACCAGCATAACAAAAAATGTTTCTGAAGACAATCACCTATTGCTCCTTTAATATATTTTAAAATCTATTCCTGGGATGGCAAAGCATCATTACTCCAGGCTTCAGTGTCACATGACCCTTCAGAAATCATTCTAAATATGCTGATTTGGTGTGCAAGAAATATTTCTTATTAAATGGTTGTACTGATTTATATATTTGTAAAAACAGTGATGCATGCTTTCAGGATTCTCTGGTTTACTGTAATGTTTTTCCCAGTCTGCTGCCTTTGACGTCACAAGACTCAGGACTGTGTGTTTTTGTGTCAGTTCTCAGCTGTGTTGTGTTATTGTCCTGATGATCTGGACTCTGGAGTGATTCATGGCATCTCAGGTAATCAGCTCAAACCGCCCTAAAGTCCCCCAACATCGGGTCACCAGATCTCAGTTACCCGCATTAAATCTAATGTGACTCTAATTTAGCTGTAACCCTTCCACTTCACTTACTCTTGGTCAATAATAATAATAGATATCTGCCGATACGAACATCCTGTAGCTGCACTATGGGGGTGATGAAGGTCTCAGAACTCATTTGGCAGGGAAACGTTGATGACAGACTGTCTGTGGGTGACTAGGCTAGAATTTCAGGCCTGTTTTGTGACTGTAAAGCGATACGCCCTCCTCCCATTCTACTTTCTTGCACCCTAAACGTGTCTGATGTCTTTGATTTCATGTTTTTCCTCAAAACTAAACCCAAACCTTCTCAGAAGCCATTGTGTCTGTGGCCCTTTCCTTCGCTCTTGGACTTTCTCAGAACTTTTCCCTTAATATATGCAAGAATTAAATCATTACTTGATTAATAAGAGAAAATAACAGAGCAGTTAATACCAAGAGTTTTGAAGATGCAGAAATGTGCAACTCTGGACTAAATATTAAAACACCTGCTTAACAACATGCATCTCTCCTCCCACAAGCACCAATGGTTTTTCTTTTTTCAAAAGGGTGGACGTGCAATTGTGTGTGTGTAACGGCACAGGTCCACAGCGACAGGCAGTACTTAAATATTAAAGGCTCTGGGGAAGCACACCATTGTTTGCCCTCCATTTCAGAGAGGCAGTTGTGGTTGGTTGGTTGAGAGAGAGCGAGAGAGAGAGAGAGAGAGCGCAAACGGCAACAAAGACGGAGCCCGTGCTGCTGGGAACTGCAAGGACAACGTCAGGGAAAGCAACAGAGGGTGCACTCAAGTGTTAAACTATCTGACAAAGGATGTGAAGCATGGAGAAACCAAGACAGAGTCGGCTGTAAAATGTTGACAGAAGTTGGACTTTTGGTACATTAAACATGGATGGAACTGCAAGCGTAACGGCAGAACCTCAAGAGACCGACGGCACACAGAATAGACACAAGGATGAAGTGGACAGGTAGACCCTCTGCATGGAAAATTCATTTTTGAAGTTACAGGAAATTGCTGATGTGATATTAAAATAAGACGTATTTGAATTTTTGCTTATTTCAAATGAAAATGAAATACAACGAATGAGAAAAAAATTATTTATTCTCAAAAATGTCTTTTTTATATTCATTTTAAAAGAATTTTATTATTTCTTAAGATTATGCATGTGTTTCTTATTCAATTTGAATATCATTTTATTATATTTGCAATGATGAATTCTATGAAATAAACATGGTTCCTGCTCTCAGTATAAAGAATGAAATTACTTTGACAAATCATGCAAATAAAACTTTTTCCATCTAATATTTCACATAAGTTGATTGAGCACATTGTATGTTTTATGGTTATGTTTTGTGTTTGTTTGTTTGGAATAAAAAGAACACTGTTAGAGGTTGAGAACCCACAGTATACAGATCTTTTTACTTTTTACTATTATCTTGTGTATACACATTTCATTGCTGCTGGCCACTAATAGTAAACAGATACATGCGGCTCGGCTTACACGCTCTTTAAAGGCATAGTTCACCCAAAAATTAAAATTTGATGTTTATCTGCTTACCCCCAGGGCATCCAAGATGTAGGTGACTTTGTTTCTTCAGTAGAACACAAACAGAGATTTTTAACTCAAACAGTTGCAGTCTGTCAGTCCTATAATGTCAGTGGATGGGAATCACGGCTACAAACATACACAAACAAAACCAAATTAAACCCTGCGGCTCGTGACGATACATTGATGTGTAAAGACACGAAACGATCGGTCTGTGCAAGAAGCTGAACAGTATTTATATCATTTTTTTACCTCTGATTCACCGCAATGTCCGAACTGTCCTGAGCGCGTTCTCAACAGCCGGCGCGTGACTCATCTTCTTGCTTTACGGCGGATCGCAGACTTCCTATTCACTTCCATTATATGACTGACAGACTGCAACGGTTTGAGTTAAAAATCTCAGTTTGTGTTCTACTGAAGAAACAAAGTCACCTACATCTTGGATGCCCTGGGGGTAAGCAGATAAACATCAAATTTTGGGGTGAACTATCCCTTTAAGGGCTGACCTTGTGTATCTGGAAGAGTAAAATATTGTGGGGAAAATGTAAATAATTCGTTTTTGCTTTTGTGGCATTTTTGCAATTTTAACCAGCTGGTTTCAAAGTAATTTTTAGTGGTTGTTTGAAGTTGCTTTGATATTTTCCGCAACATTATATAAGTTTAATTGTTCAAATACATTTTTATTGCTGGCTCTGTACTGAAAATTTTAGGTCAGTTATGTTGGCCACAAATAATCAACCATTAGAAAGTCAGCACTGAATATCTCAGGCAAACACACGGAGATGTTTGTATTATATTGAGCTCATTCTGTAGGGTCTCGGATGAGGATGGGCCTGTGTCTGAGGCTCCTGTGGAAGGGGACGTGGAGGCTGGAGCACAAAACTCCAGGGACAGCCGCAAACTGGACTGCATCATCTGCTACAGTGCGTATAATCTGGGAGAGAGACTCCCCCGCAAACTCTACTGTGGTCACACGTTCTGCCAGGCCTGTCTGAAGCGGCTGGACACCCTCATCAATGAGCAGGTGGGATTCAAGCTATCATCACTAATATCACTATTTTAGCTTGACCTGTTTATTTCAAAGTGCAAATACAGCAATGTTCACCCAGCTTGTGGTTTGCATGATAAAAACGGCTAATAATCAAGCTTTAACAAATTGGAGTCATATAACCTATATCACCGCAATGTAAAAAAAAAAAAAAAAATCCACCTATTTTAACTTTAAAAAGTTCAATTGCCGCCTGACTTCCTGAAGAGATTAAACAAGTTTTTACTTTCAGATATCGCTTCCAAATCATTTTTTTCCCCAAATGTTAAATTGTTCAAAAACCAGCACCTTTTCATTCCATTTAACTTTATGAATATAATAATGAGCAATTATATTAATTAACTACAAATACTAGATTTTTGTTAACATCGCAACAGTGTCTGCTAAATTAGCAGAAATCCTATCCTCTTATTGTTACAATAAAATAAAAGATTTTTTTTTTTTTTATGACATTAACTAAATAAATGACTAATGTTCTTAGGGGCATTTTTGCAAAAAGCTGTCATCTTCCATAATAACTTAAATGGGTCATATGATGCTGCTAAAAAGAACATTATTTTGTGTATTTGGTGTAATGAAATGTTTGCATAAAAAAGAGGTTTTGTTCATATATCATTCACCTGATCTGATGTATATTAAACATTTTCTTCCTATGAACATTAAAATTTGTTTTTTTATGGCTTCTGACAGAATTTTCAGATTTCTGTTCAGGGAATATATGCAAATAGCTTAATTAAGCAATGCATCATTTGCATATTCAAACATTACATCATTAAACAACTTGTAATACAAAACAACTGACTTATGTGACATAATCAGTCATCTGGGGAAGCTATTATTTTTTACCCATTTCACCTATAGTGTCTTGATTTGAATTAGATATTTAATGAATCGATTAATCAAGCGAAATCTTGGGTTAAAAATTGAGCTAAATTAAGCTCGTTTTGTAACTTAATGAACTTTGGTCTATTATTGAACTAAACTGAATAAACACTGAAATTACATGAGCTGAATAATGATCTTATGTAGAGCTGCTGTGTAATTAAACTGATTTTTATTCATAACTAATGAAAATGTATTGCAACAATGAAACTGTTGTTGCTAAACTAAATTAAGCTAAAAATGACAATATTATCTTTTCAGAACTGCTATAAATCTAAAATGTAGTTGTATTAGTTTGCAACATTAAGTTATTTTCTTGTTTATTACTGTGAAGTTGTTTTGAAACAATCTGTATTGTATAAAGCTGTATATAAACATGTGATTTGAATTTTCATAGTTGATCCACCGTTTCACACACCTCAGCTGAGCAGGGTCAGATGTTTGTAACTGACTTGCTTTTTCCCCTAGATGTGGATCCCCTGTCCACAGTGCCGGCAGAACACTCCTCTACCTCGCGGGGGCGCCACTGGTCTAGACCTAGACCTGGCAGCTTTTCTGGGTGTTAAAGCTGAAGTAGAAAACCAGCGAACCTACAGCCAGAAAGCACAGCTGGAGACCAAGCCCTCCTTTATAAAGCAGCCAATCACAGATCAGCCACCCTCAGCATGGGCCAATGTGGCAGTGGCAGAGCATCGCTTCCACAGAAGCCCTTGTTGCAAGCACTGCTTGCTCTGCTGCTGGTGGTGCTAGATTCACGTACATTTCGTACAAAAACATTTGACAGTGGATATCCCACTGTCTGGAAACCACAGATTCCTTTACAGAATTGCCTGGGACAATAAAATACATTTTATTTGGATACTCAGTGGATCAGTAATGTCAAATTCTGCAAAACTCAGTGATCAAAATGGAATAGGATACATGGACATGAGAGACAATTCAAGAATGGACAGATTGGATTTCAGATCTTAGACAATCCACTAGAATAAGAGTTGCTTGTTACAACAATTCAAACTGTGGGGAATATCTGGTTGTATATCTGTTTTAATAGAACCAAACTGTCAATCAGCTTCTAATTTAAAGATCTCTTTTGTTGTTTTCCAGCTCTTAAAAACTAAACTTAAAAAAATATAAGACAGTAGGACAAAAATGAAAAATGAAAATGCATCAAGCCAAACAGAATCTCATTCCGCCATCCAGAGTTTGAAGGTTCGGTCATAAGAGCAGGTGGCAATGAGCTGTCCATCAGGCGAAAGGTCAAGCCCCATGACCTTCCCTTCATGACCCGCCAGAGTCTTCAGAGGTGACCAGCCAGGATGGGTCCACACTTTGGCTGTGTTGTCATATGCACCAGTCAGCAAAAAATGCCCATCGTTAGCTAAAAGGAAGAGACTCTGTTAATATTGTATTGACACTGCAAAAATGTAACACAAATTTGCAAGTTCAGTTGCGGTGAATGACTCATTCACTTTGAGTCAGTAGACCTATGGATCTATGAAAATCCTATAAAATATTTGTTCACCCTAAACCCATGTGACTTTTTCTTTTGTGGAACACATATTTTGCGGAATGTCCACAGTGCTTTTTTATTTTGGGAACTTACTGAGGTTGCTGAGAAGAGGGGTGAGTAAAGGATGAGTATTTTTATTTTTGAATGAATAATCTCTCAATGACTGATAATAAATATCCTCTTGACTTGACTCTTGACTACTTACGTTGGAACTTGACTGAAGACACAAGGTTCTCATGGGCAGGAATTGTGTACATACACCTTCTATGACGAAGGTCCCACACTTTACAGGTGTTATCTCCACTTCCTGTTGCCACGTGAAAGCTGCACAAGGAAGATTTAGGGGTTAATTATCAAATAAAGCTCAAATACCAGTAAATAGCCTTACTAAATATTTTAAATATTCATATGCCCTTTCTTTTACTTACCCGTTTGGGGAGAAATTGATGCTATAAATCTCGTTGTGGTGGCCTTCCAGGAACATGATACAACGACCAGTCCGCAGGTCCCAGACACGAGCAAATGCATCCAAACCACTGTATGAATTACACAACATTAACACAAAAACTGAAAGATTAATAAGCCAAATATAAATCATTTCAAACAACCAATCAAAAATATAATATAATTCAAATAAAATTATATAAAAATATAATTCAACCAATCAAAAGCAGACTGAATGAACAATCACAAAATAAAGTGGAAAACTAAGTGGTTCTCTGGTAATGCGAATATTGCAGGACCAATGCTGCAATCAGAGGAATCAGGGTTAAGATTAGGAACCATGTATGATGGATTAAAGATCATTTTTTATTTGGCTGGTCTTACACTAAACATACTTGGACTCCTAAGAGCATCAAAGTAACTGTATAGACTTGAGTGTTGTGCTTGTTCCTTTACAAAAAAAGTGGAGTGCCTCTGGGTTCAGTGCGAGGCCCTTACCCAGTTCCTGCCAGAGAGCCATCTGGGTGGAAGTGCAGGTCATGGACACCTTTACTATGACCCTCCTGATGCAGAATTTCTTCTTGGGCTTCCAGATCCCAAAGTCGCCATGAGTTATCATAGCTAAAGAGCAAAAAAAGAAAAGAAAAGACAGCTCTGTTAAATATATGACAGAAAAGTTTTATCCCAACACCAATATTTATACCATTGTTTTGCATTTACTTCTAAAAAATATATAAAACAGAAAAAAAACATTCATACCAAGTTGTTCCTAGGAACCGCCCAGAGGGATGCCAGGCCACCCGAGCCACCCTCATAGAGTGCCCCTCAATGTCTGCTACAGGCTCATCACTACAGATAAGAACAGGGAAATGTTACAATGTTTTACTTCAGAAATTGAGACCGAAATTTTAATGAATACTAATAATATACACCTGTCTAAACTCCACAGCTTAACAGATCCATCCGCAGCACAGGAGGCCATATTGACATCTGACTCCTCAAGTGTGAGTGTGGCTTGAGGGTGAAAGCTAATCGCTCCCACGTTGGTATTGTGACCTGAGAAAGAAGAATTCACCTTCAATGAATCCAGTGGTAAAAGTTGTATTGTAAACAGGAATGAAAAAAAAAAAAAAA